TTTTCTTGATGTGCACTTATCCTTTATATAAAACTCTCTCTTATACATGAGTTTCTGTGGATTTGTTTCTCTAAAGTACCCAGACTAACACAGGGGATTACAAAATAAAAATAGACTATGGCAGAAAAACTGAAATTTCTAGCAAGAAGTCAAACATGACATTTTATTGATCTTGAATTTATATTTTTTAAATGACATTCTTACAAAATGAATTAACTTTACATCTCTCTCCCATTTTGGCAACTAGATGAGAAGAACTTGGAGAGTAAAGGCTACGTGTGTATGTACGTGTGTGTCCTGTGGCCCACCCTGCTGTGCACTTCCACCTTGTTCCCCACAGATGACGACACGGTGTTGGCGCTGACGTGGATGCAGGCGTTGCTTGCCATCAGCTGGTGCTGACGCACAGCAACGGGACGTACAATGGACAAGACACTCCCCCAGCCTGTGCCATGTCCCCAGGCTGAAGCCCTCACTGCAGCCAGCGTGCCAGTTGAGCCCACGGAGGCTTCTGCTTCTATGCTGACCTTGATCTCACCAAGCAGGATGTCCTTCCCCAGGGGCTGGTCCCTCCTGATGTAACCCATCTGAAGTCTGACACCATGGCTCCCCCGCCGCCCCCTATTCTGATGAGCACGTGGCCGCACTACAGTTCAGCTGCAACAACGCCTCTTCCTGATGCGCGTCCAGCCGCACAGGCCCACGGAGTGGCTGGAAGGGCCTTGCCTTGGTCCAGCACGCCTTAGTTCTCCAGGCACTTTTCTTCTGCACTTGACATAGTTTTGCAGCAGACTTTCCCAATGTAATATGTAGTTTTATTTCTTGATTGCCACTTCGACTGAGAGAAGTAAAATGAAATACTTGACTCTGCCAATCTTTTCTCTGTTTATCATGGTACTCATTACTTATCAGTCCACTTGTGAGAACTTCTGTTTTCATGTTGAAGTGTAATCCATACTGGAAGTGCTTCAACTTAAAGCTATTACTATGTAACTGAATAACTGTATTTGCTGGGAAACTTTTTGTGTACTTTATTTACTTGTTATTGTTAGGTGAGGAAGCATCAGTTCCAAGTCATAGCAGCCCTATCTACCATAGAACAAAACACTACCTGGTTATTTATTTACTTAAATTGTAATGTGCCCCGTTTTACTTGCAAATGAGCAATTTTAGAAATAGATTAAGTATTTGAAATGATTCAAATTACCTTCAGCAAAACACAAATGAAATTTTTAAATTATTTTCTTTTTAAATTACTTAGTGAATTTAACTTTTGCTTGATATGAGAAAATAACTAAACTAGCTGCTAGATATTAATTCAAACAGTGTCAACATTTTTCTCCTCAGCATTTGATTAATTATGGACTGAATAAACTTTGGTTGAAACAATAAAATATAACCTAACATAATCCTCAAAGCCCAGCTTACAAAAATACTGAGACTCAAATATGAACAGCACTAACAAGGAAGCCAATGGCGGCCAACAGGCGTGCATAGGCCGACTCCAGCCACATCTTACGTACAGTGTGTGCATCCTCTATGAGCTTAATGTAATGCTGCTGATTTTCTCAATGAAAGAGAAAATAAACTCTGCCAGGTATGGTTAGGTTTCAGAGAGCAATGAAAAACTATTGTGTTTTATATATATATGTATATGTCTGCAGCATGAACCAATGTTCAGTGTCCATGACAGGCAAACATCAAGACGTCAGGAGTGTGTGTGACTGCTGAGAGGAGACCCTACTGGCCCAACAGGGGGCTGCGAGCCACAAAGAGAGCAGCTGGAATCCACCAGGAGAAGGAGGAGACCACCTGATCCCATAACGACCTACAGGCTCAGGAAAACAGAGGGGCACCTCGCTCTACGCTACGGGAACAACTACGAGTCGTCATTGGCAGTGGATGTGGCTTGGTTCATGTTTAGGGCTGAAGGGAGGGCAAAATGAGGAGTAGCAGGCAACTAATGAGCACAGGGTATCTTTCAGAGTGAGACAAAAAATGCTCTATATCAGACTGTGGTTTATGCTTACACAGCCCTACTAATAGACTGAAAAGTACTGAGTCATACACTCTCAGTGGGTGGAGGAGTGCATCTCAATAAAGTTGCTTTTGGTAAGAATCGATTTTGACCTCCTAGCCACCTGATGAGGAAAGCACTAAAGATCCCTCAAGCAACAGGGTGAAACTCTCAATGTATTCTTAATTCATTCAAACTTGGAAGATTAAAGATAGAAGAACTGATTAAGTAAATGAGCCGAACAGAGAATTTCAAAAGGCAGGTTGAGAAGACCAAAGTGGAGTAGTACAATGAAATGTGCAAACAGGTGAAGCTGGGAAGAGAAGAAGGAATAGCACATTCAGTATATCTTAGGCTGAAAGAACTGAAGGAAACGGGACAGCACTGAAGCTACAGCTCAGAGAGAGGGACGTGTCTGATCAGAGCACACGGGAGCAAATGAAGGGGGAGGAAGAGAGAGTGGAGCACATCCTGGCCCACCAAGCCTTGAGGACGATAGCCCTGCTCAGAGCAGCCAATGCACAGAGAGGACCACATGGCCGGCCCCACTAGGAGACATGACATCCCTCACTGACCCATAGCCCTACGGGGGACAACACTGAACACACAGTGTAGGAACTGTGCCCGAACTGACCCCACCACATCGAGGCAAAACACTAAGGGTGTGCAACAGAACAGCAAGGGGAGCAGAACAAGGAAGTTCCCAGGGAGTACCAAAGATAGACTTTGGGGCCAGGGCGTGGCACCCCATCAGACTCACCCGGAAAACACTCCTAAAGGCCAACAAACAGACCTTGAACTATTCACAGGCACCAAAGAACAAAGAATCATATCATTGTGAATGAGGGGGAGTGTGGAGTGGAGACCCAAAGCCCATCTGTAGGCAACTGGACACCCCCTTACAGAAGGGTCTTGGGGAGGTAACAAGCCAGTCAGGGCGCAGTGTAGCACCAATGAAACATACAGCTTTCCTCTAGTTCTTTCATGCTTCCTCCCCCACTATCATGACCCCAATTCCACCTTACAAATCCGGGTAGACCAGAGGATGTACACTGGTACAAACAAGAGCTGGAAACAGGGAATCCAGGACGGATAAACCCCTCAGGACCAATAATGACAGCAGCAATACTAGGAGGGGAAGGGGAAGGTGGGGGAAGAAGGTGGAACCAATCACAGTGATTTACATATAACCTCCACCCTGGGGGACGGACAACAGAAAAGTGGGTGAAGGAAGACATTGGACAGTGTAAGACGTGAAACAATAATTTACAAATTATCAAGGGTTCGTGAGGAAGGGAGGTTGGGGGAGGGAGGGGAAAAAATGAGCTGATACCAAGGGCTCAAGTAGAAAGAAAATGTGTTAAGAATGATGATGGCAACAAATGTAAAAATGTGCTTGACACAATGGATGGATGGCTGGGTTGTGATAAGAGTTGTACGAGCCACCAATAAAATGATTTAAAAAGAAAACCTTTACTGAAGCAAAAAGTCTCATCTTTCTCCCATAATGCTGTTAGTACTGACCTTGTAGTTAGCAGCCCAATGCATAAGCCACTAGGGTGCCTTAACTCAGTGTAAAGAAAATACAAATCCTCACAACTGGACCAATAGATAAACCAATCATGATAAACAGAAAATATTGAAGTTAGCAAGGATTTCATTTTGCTTGCATTCACAAACAATACTCATGAAATTAACAGTCAAGAAATCAGTTCTTTAATATTTCCTCCCTTTATGGTTATGATTTTTGTTTGTTTTACCTCAATCATGTTAGATTTGTGTATATTCATTTGTATATACAAGATTGTTTGGTACATGAAAGCCCAGACAGATAACCCTTCAGAAAGAGTAGCAGGATTACCTGTTCCCTGAGCATACTGGAAGAGGGAAGGAGGGGGGAGGGGGATGGGGAGCTGATAGCACTGATGACTGTATAACCCCACTAGATGGGATCGAACAACAGAACTGTATGTGAATGGATATGTAAGATATGGCAAACATAAAATAAGGGTTCCTGAGGAGGTAGGGTGGGAGGGGATAAAGGGGAGCTGATATCAAAGAGTTCAAAAGGAAAGGAAATGTTTTGAAACTGATTGTGGTGGCAATTGTACAATACTGCCGGAGGTGATGGAACTATGGAATGTTACGATATCTGCAAGAGCTCCCAATAAAAGGATTTTTTAAAAAAAAGAAGAAATCAGATGGCATATTTGCATTTGCCATTTGCCGCTGCCAAAGACGTCTTTGAAGTGTCGACGAGCACGGGGTCACGTTGAGGACACAGGACGCCTGCCCCAGGCCTTGGCATTTTCAATCCCCTCCTGTGGGTGTGAAAGTTGGACGCTGGACCAGGGAGAAGCCTCAGGATTGATGCACTGGAGTTACAGTCTTGGTGAAGAAAACCGAAAGCACCACAGACTGCCAAAAGCAGCGACCCATCTGTGCTGGAGAAGAGCAGCCAGACGCTCCTTTGAGCACAGGGCGGGACCCCTCCCACGTACTCCGCACAGGCTAGCAGGAGAGGGCAGCTCCTGGAAAGGGGCTCACGCCTGGTAAGGCAGGGGGTCCGGGAAGAGAGCTGGATGGACGCCCTGGGCTCCGCCAGGACAGACGGTGGCGCAGGGGCAGGCAGCGTTTGTTCCGCGGTGCACAGGGTCGCTCTGGTTGGAATCAACTCCATGGCACCTAGCAGCAATAACACTGAACAAATGAAACCCTTTATGGGAACACTTAGAAGAAATAATCCAACAAAAGAGTTGTTTTAGCAAACAATTTCTCAACGTCATTCACGCAGCCACCTTTATCCTATCGCTGCTCCTTGTCGTCTCAGAGCGGTGGGAGGTTCGGGGAGGTTACGGTTACTTCAACGCCACGGAACCGCCAAGCAGGACAGGCTGTAGACAAGAACAGGCAGGTCCCCGAAACACCGAACCTATTTCTCATTCAGTAAGAAGCAAGCACAGCCTTCAGAGAAGATAGGCAGCAAGAGAAAGCGCTACCCTACAAGCACAGGTGCTGAAAGCCAGAGCTGTGGCAGGAGGACCGAGGAGGGAGCGCGGATGGAGGATACGGAAAACAACAAAAACCGCAGCCGAGTAAAGTTACTTTATGCAGCTCTGCATTCGAGGCCCTCCAAATTCAGCCCATTATCTCATTTCACCCGACCCCAACCTCTGAGGGGAAGGACTGACGTATTAACTCGATTTCACAAATGAGGAGACTCAAAGAGGTTAAGTGAGAGGTTAAGTGATTTCCTCAAAGCTCATAAAGAAAATAGATGAGCCCATTACCTTTTCCACTGTGCACAAATGTAGATGTGTGGGAAATACGGGCTTCGTGAATGGAAAAGCCACCAAGAACACCATGCGACTGCCGTGCTTGAGAAGAGCACACATATATATATATATATTCTAAATGCTGGCTCAGAGTCTGAAAACTCTGAGGTTTCCTATAGGTGAAGTTACTTTCCTAAAGGTTTATACCAGTGCTTCTCAATCCATGACAAGTACTAGCCTACCCAAGGGATCTGAGGGAGGCAAAAAGAAAGTAAAGTAAATCTGGCATGGGCTTTCTGCGTAACGATGCTGACTTTCGGGGTCTTGGAGCAAGGCTGACAGCTCTCTCTGAATGCTGGAGACCATGGGAAGGGCTCAGGCCCAGGAAATGCCTGTGGCTGAGGAAGCCCGCTAAAGGGCTTGGTGGGGGGCACTGGACGAATGCCTGTTCTCCAAGCTTTGCCCAGAACAGAGATGAGGGTTGTGGACCACCAGGCCCACAGCAGGCCTCCCAGGATACCTGGTTCTCGGAACGGGCTGTCATCGCAAATGTGCAGGTCCAAGCGAGAGATGAGGAGATGGTAGGAGGACTCCTTCACGTCATACTTCTCAAAGTACTGGCTGAGGCGGGTGCTGCTGCCCTGGCTGCCACCAAACGCATGGGCCCAGGACTGCTGGGCACTGGGAGCTGGCGGAGTGATCTGCGTCGGACAGAGAGAAACAAGAGGTCCAGACCCTGAGGCGCTCCTTCGCAGGCTTTAATCCTGCCTGCAAAGTGCCGGAGGGCAAGCTGCTCCTTCCTGCTCAAACTCCCCAAAGCCTCAACACCAGCAGTCTCTGGGTTAGAATGAGGTTGTTCTGAAGTCTGTCCTGAGGCTGAATCGTCTGTAAGTCACGACAGGTGGAAATAGTTTGTGTGGACTATTAGTCACATGTGGTCTTAACACCGAACCTCCACGGTATGTTCTAAGAAATAGGACATGACGTGATTGGGGCATTGTGCAAACAACATATTATATATGGGAGAGTTGGGCAAGACGGTCACAGTCGGGTCCAGGGCCCACACTGCCACCACTGAGCTGAGAGACCTCAAAGAAACAGCAGTGCTGCTGCTACCAGTCCTGTGTGGTCGCTGCCTGCTCTCCAAGAGCCACATATGGGCCCTGCCCACCCTCCACTCACCACATTACCGGCCTTGCCACCTGCTCCCTTCCCTTCCTTCCTTCCTTCCTTCCTCCCTGCCATCCTCCGCCCTATGAGTTATAAACCCTTCCAGCTCCGTCTGCCTCTCCTCCACCTCGGCCTCCTTCCTGATCGCCTGTCCTGCTCCTCCTCCCTCCATCGACTAGACGACAAGGCAACTGTCGCCACAAAAGAAGCCTTGGGCATCACCCACAAGCCACCCAGGCTGAGTAGGAAGAAGCCTCGGAGAGGCATCCTCCTTAGTTTCTTGTGATGGCTGCATGGTCCCTGCATGCGGCAAGTGTGGCAGGACAGGCAGCCGAAGGGCAGAGGCAGACGTGGGACGTGGAGAGCTAGTGAGAGACAGAAGGGATCACTATGCCTAGCACCATTATGTCTGCTAGACCCCACGCCCTATCAGGATTTCTGAACTCCATTATAGCCCTATGGGACAATGGACACATATGCAGTGGACATGCCCAGATGGACATTAAGTAAAGCTCATCTGTATAGTACACGGTGTACTTTCCTATGCATAGAGACATGATAGAAACACTCCCAGAGAAATGAAAACATCTTTAACATGATACAGTAGAAATAATATTTTGAAGCGCACCACGAAGTAGCTCTTGTCTGTCACTATGAACCACTGCAGACCTGGAATTTTTAATATAATAAGCTTCACAATGAGTTGGTTTGTAACTATAGGTCATATGTATATCGCTGTCCAAAACCTAAAGACTGCCTGTATGATTATTCTATTAACTGCCAGAGTACTTGCCTAAGGTTTGAACCAACCCTCCAAGTTCTCACTCGGCTGACCAGCGCTGAGCGACTCCTCTAGAAGTCTGCGCTCAACCCCCTCCCTCAGGCTGGGCAATCAGCTGCCTCTCCTCTGAGCCCCGCAATGGTAACCCAGCATTCAAGGTGTAAGTCACTGAGGGCCCAGGGAGCAAGTGGCTGACGTATACGCAGTTGGCCTTGTCCTCCGCAGTGGCTAGCATTGTATACGCACCACACTGAAAGCACAAACTAAGGGAACAAGGCAGAGAAGGCGCAGGCAAAGCCCGTGCACACACACAGCATGTGACAACCCCCAAATGAAGAGTCGCACAAGACAAAACGAACTCACTGCCGTCGCGTCTCTTCTGCATAAGGCTTTGCACACCTTTAAGGGCGCGGAGAGTCTCAGCTTTTTCCTGTGGAGTAGCTGGTGGGTTTGAGGCCCCAACCTTGCAATTAGCAGTCCAACGCTTACCCGACAGTGTCACCAGAATCCACCCACGCTGGCACTCATTAGGCCTGGCCTGCCCACCAGCTCTCTAGCCCCACCGTGTGTTTGGCCTCTGACCTGGGCAGGTTCAGGGGCCATGCTCTTCCTCTGCTGGGCTGACTTCTCCACGACCTCGCTCAGAGACTCTGCATACTTCATCATGGCCTTGAGCTGCGAGTCCGTGAGCACCCAGAGCAGGTCAGCCAACAGGAACATCAGCTTGGAGGCGATCACGTTGCAATCTCTGGTCTGAGGGGACCAACAGAGAAAGAACATGGGGCTCATGACCTGGTACCAGTTCAACCTCTCAGTCACCGCTGCCCAAGACCTTTCAGAGACAGCTTTCCAACTCCCAGTCTATGAAAGTAGCAAACACTTTAGAGAGTCCATTTCTTTTTTAATTTTATTGGGGGCTCTTACAGCTCTTATAACAATCCATACACTCATTGTGTCAAGCACATTTGTACATGTGTTGCCATCATCCTTTTCAAAACATTTTCTTTCTACTTGAGCCCTTGGCATCAACTCATTTTTTTCTTCCCTCCCCCACTCTCCCACCCTCATGAATCCTTGATAAATTATAAATTATTATTTTCATATCTAACACCATCCACTGTCTCCCTTCACCCATGTTCTGTTGTTTGTCCCCCTGGAGGGGGTGTTGCACGTGGATCATTGCGATCAGTTCCCCCTTTCTACCCACAACTTCCCCCTACCCTCATGGTATCTCAACTCCCATTACTGTTCCTGAGGGGTTTACCTGTCCTGGATTCCCTGTGTTTCCAGCTCTTATCTTTACCAGTGTACATGCTCTGGTCTAGCCAGATTTGTAAGGTAGAACCGGGGTCATGATAGTGGGTGGGGAGTGGAGAGGAAGCATTAAAGAAGTAGAGGAATCTTGTATGCTTATCGGTGCTATACTGCACCCTGGCTGGCCTTTCCGTTCCTTGTGACCCTTCTGTGAGGGGATGCCCAATTGTCTACAGATGGGCTTTGGGTTCCACTCTGCTTCTCCCCTCATTTGCATCAATATGATTGTTTGTTTTGGGTCTTCTGATGCCTTACACTTGATCCTAATGCCTGACACCTCATGATCACACAGGCTAGTGTGCTTATTCCATGTGGGATTTGTTGCTTCCCAGCTAGATGGCCGCTTGTTTACCTTCAAGCCTTTAAGACCCTAGACACTGTATTTTCACCATCAGCTTTCTTCACCACATTTGCTTCTGCGCCCATTTTGTCATCAGAGATCTTGTGTCAGGAAGGTGAGCAGCATGAATGCCAGGTTATTAGGACAAAGTGTTCTTGCATTGAGGGGGGACTTGAATGGAGGCCCAAGGTCCGTCTGCTACTGTAATACTTAACATATAAATACATGTGCATAGACCTATATCCTTATCATTATATATATTTACAAATGCGCATGCCTGTATTTATACCTCTGTAAGTGTCCTTTGCCTCCTAGTTCTTTCCTCTGTTTCCTTTTATTTTCCTCTTGTCCCGCCATCAATGTTTGCCTTGCATTCAGGTTTCAGTAATTCCTCTCAGTTACACTGCACTTGATCAAACCCCACCAGGCGTTCTACACGCTCCTCACCATCGATTTTAGATCACTGTTCCCTGTCCCTGGGTTTGATGGCTTAGAGAACCAATTTCTTAAACTATTAATATTTCCTGTGAGCAGAAAGCAGCAGCAATAGTCAACTACAGGTGTCCGCAGTGTCCCTGTATCTGGGGGAGACTGGTTTTCAGAATTAAAATGTGCTCCCACTGCCGGATGCTGTGCAACACAAGACTGCAGCCTTGACCTTTCTTTCTTTTTTTAATCATTTTACTGAGGGCTCGTACAACTCTTATCGCAATCCACACATACATCCATTGTGTCAAGCACATTTGTACATTCGTTGCCAGCATCATTCTCAAAACATTTGCTTTCTACTTGAGTACCTTGATATCAGCTCTTCATTTTCCCCTCCCTCCCTGCCCCCCTTCCCTTGTGAACCCTTGATAATTTATAAATTATTATTATTTTGTCATGGCTTACACTGTCCGACGTCTCCCTTCACCCACTTTTCTGTTATCTGTCCCCCGGGGAAGGGGTTATAAGAAGATTCTTGTGATCTGTTCCCCCTTTCTACCCCACCTTCCCTCCACCCTCCCTGTATCAACACTTTCACCACTGCTCCTAAGGGGATCATCTGCCCTGGCTTCCCTGTGTTTCCAGTTCCTATCTGTACCAGTGAACATCCTCTGGTCTAGCAAGATTTGTAAGGTACAACCAGGTTCATGATAGTGGGGGGAGTGGCGGGCGGGGAACTAGAGGAAAGTTGTATGTTTCATCGTTGCTACACTGCACCCTGACTGGCAGTCTGACCTTTCAATGACCATTCCAGAAGTCACTAACAAGTTTTAAAACCAGGCAACACCAAGTCCTAGGCTGTCTGGGAAAATGAAAAACTGGACGTTTCCATGAGGTCAGAGGTCACACTCACTCTTCTCTTGAGGGCTATCTGGATCCTGCCTTGGTTGGTAATGAGCCTCAGTGGAGTGGTGACTGGGTCCTGATCACCGTTGTCTGTGGCATCGGCTTCAATTCTAAGTGTTTGCCAGGTTATCTCCTTAAATGTTAAAACCTGAAAGGAAACGACAGGAACATCCCTTAATGCTGTGGATGACATTACCCTCCTAGAAGCTGGAAGCTCAAGGCAAAAAGACTGGCTAAGCCAAGACTCAGCTGGGATTGAACCACAGATCCTCAACAGAGGAAGTGATGAAGCAGCATCCACCGGACAGAGGGATGCTGAGTGCCTAGGAATGCGGGAGCACTCAAGAAAGCCCTCGACTGGCAATCATATCCTTTAAGAAGTCAGTCCTACTTTGAAGCCCATCCTCACTCTCCCCCATCCCAATGCCAGGCCCGTCACCTCTCCACGGTGGGGGTCAGTGATTCGCGTGAGGCGGAGGTCACTCTGCTGCCAGCTGGGGTTGACACTGTAGCCCTGGAGCTGCCACAACTCAAAAGAGGCGTGGAAGGCCTTGGAGTGAATCTTGATGGTGATGGAGTTGACGATGATGAACATCCCCTCGACCACCTTCTCGGCAAAGCCGTACTCACTGAAACAGAGGGGCCGTGAAGACTTCATTCGTAAGTGACTCCCCTTTCTATACCTTAATATAGAAATATAATTTCTCTCTTCCCATCTTTCTATTTTAATAGACTTTTAAAATTGATAGCTGCCCAAGTATCGTACACAACCCTCTGAAAAAGCAGAGAACAGCAGGAGTCGTCATCTGTCCCGTCTCGGCTTTCGGGAGAGAGAGGAAGCGGACCATGTGGTCTATAAAGGATTCTAAGATTCTTTGTTAACAGAGCCCTGGTGGTATAGGAGGTTATGTGTCGGGCTCCTAACTACAAGGTTAGCAATTCAAGACCACCAGCCACTCGGTGGGACAAAGATGAGACTGCCTACTCCCGTAGAGACTTACAGTCTTGGCAACTGATAAGGGCAGTTCTGTCCTGACCTGTAGGGTCGCTAGGAGTTGGGATTGACTTGATGGCAGGGAGTTTGTTTTTAGTAGATTCTTTTCATACTGTCTAAAAAAAATTTGTAACGAAGGATGTGGTATACTTTGTAATAAGAATTCGCTTTTTAGTTGTTTGTTTTTCTAAGGATGAAACAGGAGAAAAGGTTTTAAATTTAACACGTTTTCATGTTGGAACATAACCATATTTAAATGTCACTTTTTATTACATTACATTGCTTAAGGTTAACTCAAAAGAAAAAAAACTGAATTTGTACTGAAATGCTGCTAAATTTATGATACTCAAAATCAAGTTTTACCTGATGATATATTGCCAAACTACCCCATCAGAACAATCTTTTTTAACTATATTAATGTTCTTACTATCTTTTCCATATATCATGTGAATTTCCAGTTTCTTATGAAATAAAGCCCTAAAGATTTTCCTCCAAAAATAGATGAAATGGCACACTGCATTGGGTAGATCTGCTGCACAAGACCTCCTTAAAGTGTTGAAAAGAAAAGATGTTACTTTAAGGACGAAGGTGAAAATGAGCCAAGCCATGGTATTTTCAATGGCCTTCTATGCACGTGCAAGTTGGGACACTGAAAATGGGGGAAAGAAGAATTGATGCATTTGAATTACGGTGCTGGCAAAGAATACTGGACGTATGATGGACTGTCAATGAGAAGAATAAATCTGTCTTGAGAAAGGTGTTGCCAGAATGCGCTTCCGAACCACAGAGTGTAGGATTTGTCTCATGTTATCAGGGAAGACCAGTCCTGGAGGAGGCCCTCATTCGTGCTGGCTCCAGTGGAGAGGGAGTGGGAGAAGAAGGCCCCTGACCAGATGGAAGAGGGTCTGCCACAATGGGCGCAGCCCTGAGACAGTTGTGAGGGTGGCGCGAGGACGGGGCAACGTTTTGTCCTGCTGCACACAGGTCACGCTGGGTGAGATCCGACTCAACAGGACCTAACAAAACAGCACAGTCAAGCCTGAGAAAGCCAGCATCTGTGTACGGTGGAGCCTGTAAGGAGAACACAAATATTTTCCGCTGACAGCAGTCCCAGCTCTCAGTTTCACTGCACATATGTCTGTGTGTGTGATGTGCAAATATGGGAATGTATACGAGTGGTACCCCCCCCAACAAAACAAAACAAATAAGCTCTGCTGCACAGAGCTTTCATAGTACGCATTTTCCCCCTTAGGCAAGCGAACAACAAGCAACTCGCTCTGAGTTCGTGCACATTGCCTGGAAAGGTTCTCTCTGGTCACAGTGAAGTTTTTGTAAAAACAGTTTCGCTCAATCCTTGTTTTTTGTGATGGCCATTTTAAAAAAAAATCATTTTATTGGGGTCTCATACAACTCTTATCACAATCTATACAGACATCCATAGTGTCAAGCACTTTTGTATATTTGTTTCTCTCATCATTCTTAAAACATTTGCTTTCTACTTGAGCTCTTGATATCAGCTCGTCATTTTCCCCTCCCTTCCTGCTCCCCCCTCCTCCATGAACCCTTGATAGTTTTTAAGTTATTATTATTTTGGTGATGGCCACTTTAAGAGACCAGCATGCGGCTGTGAAACTGTGTTTCCTGCTCGAGAAAAATGCCGCAGAAACTGTGATGTTGAACACAGCTTACAAGGACAGTGTTTTGGGTTTTCTTGTTTCAAAAGAGGTGAAATGTCGATTAATGACAAACCTCATTCTGGACGTCTGTCAACTTCCCAAACAACTACAAAAATGTCGACTGACTCATAGTGAGCTCCACCAGGTCAAACTGTTAATCAAGCTTTCTAGTTAGAGGTTCTGAAAAGATTAGGTAACAGTATGTGACAAAAAAGGCTTCATTTGTGGCAGACAGGGGACTGGTTTTGCCACCATGACAATATACCTGCTCACACAGCCATCTCAGTGTGCCAGTTTTGGGCAAAAAACAGCATGCCTCTCTTGCCTTACACACCTGACCTCACTCCCTGCGACTTCTTTTTGTTTCCGTGAATGCAGAGGGACATGAAAGGACAGCCATTTGACTACATAAAAGAGGTGGAGGAAAAAGTAAGGGAGGTGCTATCAGCCATCCAAACACACGAGTTTGAAAAATGTTTACAAGAATGGAATAGCAGATTTGACAAATGTGCTACGTGTAATTGAGAGTACTTTGAAGGTGATAAGGTTGTTTTGTAAAACAATTTAAATACATATATTTGAAAAAAATCTGGTATTTAGGGTACCCCCCTCAAAGCATCCATTCAGCCAATGTCCAGCCACACAGATCTGTCATCTGTCAACTCCGGGAGAGTCCACCATATTAAAAGTTCCAGATGCAGCAAAACACTAGTAATATTATTGTATTAGTATGTTAAAGATGTTTTAGTGCAGGTCCTCAAACTTTTTAAACAAGGGGTCAGTTCACTGTCCCTCAGACCCGTTGGAGGGCCGGACTATAGTTTTAAAAAAAACGATGAACAAATTCCTATGCACACTGCACATTATCCCTATTTTGAAGTAAAAAACAAAATGGGGCAAAAACACCCGGCAGGCTGGATAAATGTCCTCGGTGGGCCGCATGTGGCCCTCATGGCCGGCTGGCCATGGTTTGAGGACACCTGTTTTAGTGCATATAGAAGTGTTTAAGATTCTTTACACCTAGAAAGTTACTTTGTATACTATGTTCTAAGACAAGCAACTAACAGTAGGTACAAACCTACTTAACTGTTCCAACTTATATACAAATTTACAGACTTAGAAACAGAACTTGCTCCCAATCCAGGGACTGTCTATACATCTAGGGTATTCATGAGTCAGAACATATCATGGCTCTTAAGCAACAAGAGACTATACACAAATGTGTACATATGTTCATTAGGAGAGAGTACAATGCTAATTGCAGTAGTCTTCTTAGCTAGTTTTCAAATTTATATGCAGAAAACTTCATTGCGTGGTACGAAATTCTATGGGTTCTGAAACTTCAGAGAGCCAACCCCACAGCCATGATATAAAGCCGTTCATCTACTGAACAGCCAGAAACGGGAGCCCACCAAACACCCACCGCCAGCAGGAGCGCGTGCAAAGCTCTGCATGGAGAATGGAGGGCGGCGACTGTACGAGTACGCCACACCCGGAGGAGTCCCACCAACGCGGTGCTAAACGACGAGGCACGGACGGCCACGTCCAAAGGAGCTTCAAAAAGCTACTACAGATTACATCTAGATAACATCAAGAGACAGACAAAACTAATTTATGCTGCTTGAAACCAGGATAATACTTATTCTTGGGGGTGGGGAGAGACTGGAAGGGTGCAAAGCAGGCTCCTGCATTCTGGAAGGTATCTTTCCTGCTAAGTGTATAAAACTACTGCACTATAGACTTATTTGTGCCCATCAATGCCACATGATTTTTAAAAACCTACTGAAATACCCTGGGCAAAAATCTAGTTTGACAAACAGATTCTCTGTCGACAAAAACAGGCACTCACATGCATCAGAAGGAGCCCCAGGGCACAGTCCATTAAGACTGAGCTGGCTAACTGCAAGATCAGCACGTCAAACCCATCAGCTGTTCCCCAGGAGAAAGATGAGGCTGTCTGCGCCCATGAAGATTTTCATTCTTGAAAACCCTAAAGCAGGGGTCCTCAAACCTTTTAAACGGGGCCAGTTCACTGTCCCTTAGACCTGTTGGAGGGCCGGACTACAGTTTAAAAAAAAAACTATGAACAAATTCCTATGCACACTGCACATATCTTATTTTGAAGTAAAAAAAAACGGAGCAAAAACACCCAGCGGGCCGGATAAATGTCCTCGGTGGGCCGTAGTCTGAGGACACCTGCCCTAGAGAGTAGTTCTACTCCTGTCCACAAAAACAAAAACCCACACCCAAGGGCTCCAGCGGGCCAGCAGCAGGAGGGGAGGGCAAGAGTGAATGATGTACAAGCCGGGGCACCATGTGTTGTCAGGTAAACCATCCCTCCATCAGTGTCTAATTCCAACACTCTATGAATCAAGGCTCTGGGACAACGGTAGACTTGGGTCCCTCTAGATTCTAGCCTAAACCCTGCTTCTCTGTGAGATGCAGTGAACAAGTCTGCTAGACCTACTACTCCCTGAATGCAGGGTGCTGGTAACTTGAGAAAAAAGCCGTGGAAGGCACCACTAAAGGTTCATTCATAAATCCTACAATGATTGTCGATTCATTTCCAATACTCACAGCAGCAAACAAAGCAGGTCACCTGTACAAACTGAGAAAAATGAAGACAAGAAATTGTCATATTGACTGAAATTATTTCCAACCTTTCCCCAGATAACAATATTCCAGAGGCTTGGGAAAAATATGGATTATCAGCAAATGACACTTCAATTCTCATTGTTTGCATTGAAGAAGGTGAAAAAGTCGTAAATCGAGAAAACCTAACACATCCCAAGTGGAAGGTTATCAGGTTTCTCTGTAAAACCTTCCAGAAATACCAAATATTACATTAGTCTGGAAGACAGAAAAGTTATCTTCAAAAGAAGAGAGCATTGGGACATTATTAAATTATATCATTTGCAGAATGTCAAAAAATATGTTTTATGAAATGTCAGATATACAAACTTTCTGCATTTCTTTTCTAAAGCTGATTTTTCTTTCCTGATTATAAACTATGTGCGGCAGCTTCAACGTTTATAAAAAATATAATTAAAAATATAAGGAAAATTTTTTTTAAGTTTTAAAGCCTTTTCCTATGTTTAAGGAAGCATTTTAAAACAAAATAGTATAAAGGGAATAAAAAATGCCCCTAGTCTTAGCCTTTTTTAATATTTTAAAAGAGAAACCACTTTTACTATTACTTACGTTGTTTTCAAGTGTTGTATCTCCATTAAAATAGATTTGTTTTTTATATAATTGGTGGTGGTGGGGGGAGTGTCAATACATCCAGTGGGTTATGTACCAGACTGCTAGCCACAAAGTCGGTCGTTCAAAAACACCAGCCACTACAAGGGAGAAAAAATGAGGCTTTCTACTCCTGTAAAGACTCACAGGGTCAGAGACCCACAAGGACCATTCTGCTCGGTTCTATCCGGTCAGAACTGACCCAGTGGCAATGAAAATAAAAAGGACCAGAAAAGAGATCAGATGTTCTAGGGCTGCGGTACACAACGCGAGTGATGACTGATAATTACGGGCTTCTTTTGGGAGTGCTGACTGCATAATCCAGGAAGTATACTAGATAAACAGTGAATTGTGCATTTTAACCAGATGAGTTGATGCACATAAATTTTATCTCAGGAAAGTTGTTTAAAGAAATGTGCTGACAAAATCCTAAATGACTTACGAACAAGGTCAGTCGTTACTGCACAGCTAAAAGCAAAACAAAAAACCTGACAACAAATCCAAATGCCCATCAACGAGAAGTGTTAGTTTAAATAAACTACAGTGAATTCATAAAATACATGTAGTGCTCTGCAACTATCATACACACACACAAAGGGGTCGTCTCTATGTATTTCTACAGTGGTATACGCAGTATACTTTAAACTGCTTTTATGTGGAAGAAGTGGTTTTGGGAAGGGGAGCTTTACTTAAAAATGCAGGGATGGCACAAATAAACATACACAAAATAGTGTATCTTATTTCACAGTCTTTACTTTGTAAATATGTAATTGATATAGTTCAGAAAAAATTTTAATGATTTAAAATAAAAACAAGCTTAAACACCTAAAATGGCTCAAAAATAGTAAGTCTATTTTTTATACTATGAAACACTGGAACAAATAAAATGTTCTGCATGTCAAATGACAGTATTCAAACGACAGTATTTTGACCACATGCCCTCATGGAGCTATATCACCCAGTAAAACACACACGTACACGCACACGCACACGCACCTACTGGATTCAGGGATCTGCTTGACAGTGTAACAACTGTCTTGTGGACAAGAGCTGAACTGTTTACTGCAAAACTCTCCACAGGGCTATGTGAGTTGGAATCAACTTAATGGCAGCAGGCTTGGTTTTAAGTATCAAAACAGTAAATCATTAACATTATTGTTAGGAACAAAAATTCAGTATGATTAAAAAAAAATTAAAATACTAAATAAAACAACTGAAAATCCTATTTTCTTTCATCTGAATCGAGAAAGATCATTAAATTTGTGTTCTAAGAAATACTTTATCTTAGCACTGAACACTGAAAAGACTTCAAAGCAATGACAACTTAATGAACACAATTTTGCCCTGACTGTAGACTCTAAATAATATTTCCCACTAAACGGAATTAGGGCTCCTTAGAGAAATGTTTAATTCCAGGTCTGCAGTAAGGACACATTAAAAAGGAGTCTGAAACATCTTGTTCTGTCTGAATGCAAGGAAGATTAGTAGATCTTTTCCAAAGGACATAGGAATCTTCTTGAAAAGGCTCTCACTCCCAGAACAAATAATCATATCGATGTGAATGAGGGGGAGCACGGAGCGAAGACCCAAGCCCATCTGTAGACAACTGGACCTCCCCTTACAGAAGGACCACAAGGAAGAGATGAGCCAGTCACGGTGCAGGATAGTACTGATGAAGCTATACCTTTCCTCTAGTTCTCTAATGCCCCCCCACTATAATGAACCCAATCCTACCTTACAAATCTATACCAGAGCATGTACACAAGTACAGATAAGAGCTGGAAGCACAGGGAATCCAGGACAGATAAGCCCCTCTGGACCAATAACTATAGTAGTGATACCAGGCGGGTGAGGGGAAGGTGGGGAGAGAAAGGGGGAGCTGATCATAATGATCTACATATAACCCCCTCCCAGGGGGACAGAAACATAAAAGTGGGTGAAGGGAGAACAGTGGTAGGTGTAAGACATGAAAAAAAATAACAATAATTTATAAATTATCAAGGGTTCTCATGAGGGAGGGAGAGGATGGGAGGGAAGGAAGTGAGCTGATACCAAAGGCTCAAGTAGAAAGAAAATGCTTTGAAAATGATGATGGCAACATATGCACAAATGTGCTTGACACAATGCATGGATGTGTAGATTGTGTTAAGAGCTGTAAGAGCCCTAGTAAAATTATTTTTAAAAAGAAAGAAAAGGCTCTCACTTACTCACAGGGGCAGTTCTACCTATAGGGTCCCTACGAGTGAGCATTGACATGGTGGCAGTGGAAATGATGCCCCAAGGGGTTGACTGATTATTCCTCTAGCACAAAATGACAATGATGTCTCTAAGGCAAACCAGAGACACGTATGGACCATAGATGTATGAATGGATTTGGGGCTTGCCCTTAATTCTAGCCCCAATCTAAGAACAATTAGTTCTTATGACATGGCTCTGCTTGATGCCCACCCTCGTGAAGAGATCACTGAAGAAATGGGTGCTATAGCAAAGTGTGGTGAAAAAACTAGATGGGGCCCGGCTTTCAGAAAGAATAGCATCTGGGATCTTAAAGGCTTGTTCTCAAATAAGCAGCCATCTAAGTAAGGTATTAACCAAGCCCACATGAGAGTCCACAAATACACCAGCAGTCTGTGTGATCCGAAGACTGGATCCAAATCTAACTGGATCCAAGGATCTAGTCCAAATCTACAGGAGGGACAGGCGCCAGAGTACTGTGACCTCTGACCACATGGAAACGTCCAGTTTTTATTTTCCTAGACAGTTCTGTATTCTACAGGGTCATGAGTTAGAGTCAATTAGATGGCCATGGCTTTTTCTTTCTGTCATGGGAGACTGAGCTGCAGACACAGACTATAAATTGGATACTACAAAGCCAAAACACAGCTTGAGAAGAGTGGAAAATAGAGAAAATTAAAAAGGCATATATTATTATATCAGAGGTGTGAGGGCAATTTAGAGTGCCAAAATTACATGGCTTCATAGCAATTTTCATAAAAATTTTGAAGATCTAAACTTCTCTTCTTCAAATTATGCAGTAAACATTTCCAAACACATTTTAATACCTAGACATCAATTCATGTCAAATGTTTCAGTGGTGAGGTTGACTCCAAGCTTCTTTATAAGAAAACTGTAACTTCTTTTAAGAGTTTCTGTGCACAGGTGAAGTTTTAATAAGAGTCTGAACTCTGACAGACTCATTTTGGATTTCAGAACACTTCAATCCCTATTGTACCAAACTCGCTACCAGCCTGTCAATTCCAACCCATAGCGACCCCATGAGGGCAGAGTGCACTTGTCCTGCGGGTTCTGAGGTTGGAGGACAGATTCGTCGTTCTCTCGCAGAGCAGCTGGTGGGCCCAACTAGCGGTCACACGCATAACCCACCTGCCATCAGGGCTCCTCGGCTCCTGTACAGTAACTCTTATTCCTGCCTCCTTCTGAAGATAACGAATTGGAGCTGGCTGGCAGTCACTTCCTACTTACGGTAAAACGATACTGGGGGAAACTCCACGTTCAGGTAATTGCACTGCTCACATATGTCTTTGGGTCAAAGGACACTATGTGAAGCACAACTTGATCTGAATGTTTAGTATAACACAATTACTTTACATAAAGCCAGGATGCACTTACTCTATCTCAGGCTAGATAACGATACATATTAAAATGTGATATTATGTTAGTGATATTCCGTGATTCTCATTAGTTCTATCGAGTACAACAGTGTGTGTGTGTGTGTGTGTGTGTGTGTGTGTGTGTGTGTGTGTGAAGTCCTTATCTGTGAAGAAACAGAAGTGTTTACAGGGCAAATTCACAATGTTAGCCATTTGTGCTTTCGTTCTGACACACACAAAGTAGCAGGGGACAGATGGAAAAAGAATGGAAAATGTTGCTAATGACTGAAGTTAGATTTGGAGCATATGAGGTTCATGACATTAGTTGCTCTACTTTAGTGTATGTTTGAACACTTCCATCACAGAAAGTTTTTATTTCTTAACAAAACATAATTTTAATGAAAAACAAATCAAATTTAATTGAAAGTTAAGATGGTGGCGATAACAAGAGTTGAAAGCAACTAACCTCTGCCCTGAGGCAAGGGCAATGGGAGACTGCCCATTGGGGGGCCGAGGCTCCTCACACGTCTTCATCTCCACCTCCACCTTATCCAGACACTGAAATAAAAGAGGCCTGAAAAGTGGAGTAGCTACACAAAATCCCACACAGCAGCCCAAAGGCCACTGACAGCACAGTCCACCTCCTGCATCTAGTTAGGTACAGGCCCCGCTGGACAGACAGACAGTAAATATTCGTTGAAGGAATGATCAAATGGAAATGCAAGGAGAGGCTTCATCTTTCTCCTTCCATTCCCATTAGCAGTGAGTCACGAGAAGCACACGCATCATTGCACAACACAAAGGTACAAGGACATTGCTGCTCCTGGGGATGCCAGTCTCTGGAATAAAATCTGAAGGGCTTTCAGGGGACAAGCATTCAATAATCAACATAAACTATGCTGACAAGGCATTCCAGAGGAGAATAGGTCAATCTGAGCACCCGGGCCATAAAATTCATTAAAAAATTTTTTTTTAGCTCTCAGGAGCCCTGGACCCTATCCTGCACTATAGAGGCATTAAGATCACGCCAACCCTCTCTCAGAGATGCCCAAGAGCCAAACAGAAGCACAGAGCACTCCCTGAAGGGAGAGCATGTCCGAGCCCCGCCCTGTCTCCTCGCAGGTCTTTTAGGGCTACCCCAGCCATCCCCGGGGGATTACGAGCAATCAAGAACAGGCATTACCAAGCAAATCGGATGTGTCTTCAGCTTTGTCCACTGGATCTGAAAGAAGCAAGCAAAGACTCAGGGCTGTGGGAGGCACCTGCTCATGGAAGGGAGCAGCAGCCCGGAGCCCCACTCACCCGGATGGAGGCCCTGTTACAGTAGACCCGCGTGATGGCCAGCCAGGTGGGCAGCTCCAGCACATTCTGTAGGACCTCTTCATCCAGCTCCAGATTGGTCAGCTGACCCTCCCCTTTCAGCGTGCTCAAGTTGATTTTGTCCGGGGACAGATTCTTCGTGAACCTGGAGAGAGGGAAAGAGTGATAAGAAGCTATTATTTCCACGGATCCTGCTAAGTGGAGACTTTCAGGCATTAACACATGTGAATGTAGACCGAAGGGAAAGTTAAAGGACAATTACTGGCGAAGATCCTACTGTCTCCACGCCATGTACAACAGTAGGTACACCCAGCACCCTCCTTATGACCTCGTCATTATCCTACTCAAGAACGTCTGGTGGGGATGGGAAAGAAGCGATCTATCCATGGCAGCGTGGCCTTAGATCTTCTCAAGATCTCCACATAAAAAGAGACAGCAACGAGAAAACAAAATAAACACACAGAAAGCCTAGATCCCATTTAAAACAAAGGGAGAGGATAAAGTCATCTCCTAAATCCCCATATCCAAGGCGGCAGGGATCGGCACAAACAGCCACAAGATGTGAGCGCTGTAAGTGGCTGTGCAGTACAAACCTGAGCCAGACAACGGGTTTTCACTGAAAAAGGAAGTGGCCATCCTATGAATAACACGGACCCTGAGAAGTGCTTCATGCAGCTGCAAAGTCCCTCCTCGCTGTCATCGATCCGACTCCTAACTGCCCGGTAGGACAGAGTAGAACCGACCCTGTGGGATTTCTAAGAGTAACTCCTCAGGGTTGTACAAAGACTCATCGGTCTCTCAAGGAGCGACCGGTGGAGTTGAACTGCTGACCTTGAGAATAGCAGCCCAACACATAGCCAATACATCACCAAGGCTCCTCACAAAGGGTTGCTAGGAAAGCCTAAAGAAACTGGAGCCTTCTAATCCCATAAACTCACAAAACTGACCTTCCAAAGGCTCCTTCCCAGGCCAGGGCCCACAACACTGAAAATGGTGGGAAACTAGTGGAAGTGGAATCAAATTGAGCAACATAAGAATGATAGAAATGAAGAGGCAGTTCAACTAAAAGTGGAAGAGATCAAGACATCTCAACAAACAGCCATTCACAGGGGCAGTGAATTATTTAATGTGGCTTTGTGAGCCAAAGTCTCTAGCTCTCACCAAATGACCTTCTCCTACATAGGTCGGGTGAGAAGATGGGGGAGGGCTTACCTATGAGTAATTGCAAACAGGATTCCCTGGAGTGCCAGCTTTCTGGATATAAAGTGAGTCCTCTGAGAAGCAGGAGGAGGGACCTCATTGCTTGCAAGAGCCAGGAGTGGAGCATGTCCTCTGAACGCAAGACCCCTACACAGTGAAACCTCCTGGATCCAGGTGCCAGGTATACCATCAGAGGAGCAGCAGCAGAACCAGAAGTCAGCGCATAGAACACAGTGATGTTCCCAAGCCAGGAGCAAATGAAGATGAGCGAGCGCTTTGGTGCAGGAGGCTGCCTTTGCAGAGTGGGGGGCCTCCCGGTACTTAATTGGGGAAGCTGGTTTTGCTGACTCACAGAAGTGGAGCTCAGTGCCTTCAGACGGAGGTTTCCCAGGGTGGAGTGCCTGTGGGCATTTAATTCAGGGGGCTGGGTTTGCAGATGCACAGAGCTTGAGCTGAATGCCTTCAGGTCGAGGCACTGCTACCCTGAGCATTTCTCACTGGCATTACAACTTAACACCCTTAATAAAATCTTTAATCATAAACTTTGTCTGTGTCTGGGTAGCCATTGAAATGGATATAAGACCTTAAACATAAATTATAGAACGTTAATTAAGACTACACGCCACTATATGAGGGGCTTTGAAATGCTCACGGAAAACGTCCATTTTCCATTTTCCCACGACTGTTCTGAAGGCCTGTCTATGTTTTCACACCACTTGAAACAGCAAAAGCAGCCCTAGGGACTTAGGAGCATCATCTGGAGCAGCATTCTTTCAGAAGTTCGGAGGATTAAGCACATGAAACGAGCGAAAGAACAGCAGTTGTGCAAAGAGAGGGTCCCAACCATCCAGGATGCAGAAAGACACGCTTACACATGGCTACACACGGTGTCGTAAAGGAAATCTGAAAACATTTACAAACAATACAAAAGAACAACCCAAATCAAAATGAGAAAAGCTAACAATGAGGCTCCAGAGTTAAAAACTCAAAGCAATGAAGAATTAGAAACAAAGGGAAAAATAATAAAGCTGACTAAAGTAGAACATAAGAGCGACAATAAAATAATGTCCTAAGTTGTCGCGGGCTTTTTTTTGAGGGGTGGGGAATGACTTTCTTCACATGAAATCCAGGAGAGGTAAATCTAGAGGCAGGAACTAGATTAATAGTGCCTTGGACTTTTGTTGCTTTGTTTTGCTCTGTCTTGTTTTTGTGCATGTTATTACCTCTGCAGGTCTATCTAGACAAGATAGGCTGGATGAACAATATGGAGGAGAAAACAACGGGACCGACCGTTCCGGGGGGACATGGGAGGTGTGGGTGGGGGGAAAGGAAGTGGTGTTAACAAACCCAGGGACAAGGGAACAACAAGTGATCCAAATCGGTGGTGAGGAGGGTGTAGGAGGCCTAGTGGGGCGTGATCAAGGGTAATGTAACTGTGAGGCATTACTGAAACCCAAATGAAGGCTGAACATGATAGTGGGACAAGATGAAAGTAACAGGAAATAGAAGACAGAACTAGGAGGCAAAGGGCATTTATAGAGGTCTAAATAGAGGCACGTACATATGTAAATATATTTATATATGAGGATGGGGAAATAGATTTATGCACATATATTTATAGGTTTAGTACTAAGGGAACAGATGGATGTTGGGCCTCCACTCAAGTACTCCCTCAATGCAAGAACACTTTGTTCTATTAAACTGGCATTCCGGGGGGAAGGGAAGAAGAGGGGATAACAAACCCAGGGACAAGGGAACAACAAGCGATCCAAATTGGTGGGGAGGTGGGTGTGGGAGACCTGGTAG